AAAACAGTGTGATTTGATTGTAAATTTTTATGGTGGAAAAAACTCCAAAAAAAGGTACATGTATTTTATATGTACCGTATATGAAACCGTTCTTTGTAAATATGTATTAAAGGTAGCAACAGAAGAAATGTGGGCATATAAAATAATGAATAATAGTATTACAGGAGACTATGTTTGTACCAATATCATTTAGACTCTTCAGTCTCAGAATCTAAAGTTAATGCACGTTTCTTTTTCTGACGGGCTTGTAAAATTGCAATCAGCATTATCAGGGTCCTCAAATGCATTGGCAAGTAAATTAGACCATTGATGTGTTTCCTGGGCAACAGCTTCTTTTTGGCAATTTTATTAGTACTAATAACACTATCTGGTTTATGTCCAATTCAAACAAATATTTAGAACATAAACTTAAACAGGGTAAAAAAGATAAGATTAAGACAATTGCATGTGATGTGCATATAAAGACACACAAAAAAACTCAAACTGTAGCAATTTAACGATCACAGAATCACAACAGTGAATCAGACAATGAAGACTATTTGGTGCTGAGAGAGGTGGGCAGTGAATCATCAAAAGAAAGTAATGATAAGAATGAGGATTTAGACAATCATGTTGAGTTGACAAGATTAATGTCTGGGAGAGTTGCAGGACAATCCTGGAAAAGATCATATCAATATTCACATAAAAAGAAGCAAACTGCAGTGATTCAGGGAGGAGGACACAGCCACGACAGCAGTAGTAGCAGTAGTTGTACTGATGAGGATGGAGACAGTCAAACTGAATTGACAACAACATTGCGATCAGGGAGAATTACTATTTAAAAGGTATGACACTTATTCTTGGCCAAGTTGATGAAAACTACTCTATGAATAGACAATAGAATAGAATAGTTGAGCTATTTTAAATGGCAGAATCAAATACAAATCATGTGACTGCCAGGTTCGTGAAAATGATGGTTGGTTGGTTGGTTGATGGGGGGGGGGGTGCCAAATATAATTTCAATAGAAGACTAATAGAAAGTGTATATACTGCAGGAAATGAAGCTCTTATTTGTGTTGATCATGTGTTAGAGGCACTTTAAAGACAAAAGACTTAACTTTGGAAAACGGAGGGGGTCCAGATCCACCCAAGTGTGTGGGGTGTCTGTCTGTTCCACTGACATCTCAAAAATTATATGTTGTTTTTTGATGAAACTTGATGCATAGATGCTGTGGGCTAATGCACAGTTTTGATTAGGTTTTGGTTTAAACCATGCTCATTAATTACCTAATTAATTTGCATGATAATTAGCTAATTTTTACTCATTAGAATTTGTTGAAACTTAGTACATAGATGTAGTTTTGGGTAAAAAATTAGGTAATTAACTTGTGTACAATGATTAGTCAATTATGTCATAACACAATACACATACTTGATAAATTTTGGGTTGATATTTATGCATATTAATTACCGAATTTGCATAATTAGTAAATTGTTGGCTTTACCTGCTGATATTTTAGTACTAATTATTACATTTCAATGAAACATGCTCGAGGATATGCAGAGACCTAATTAGGTTTAGGTAAAAGTCTGTGCATATTAATCACCTACGGTAATTTGCATAATGATTAGTCAATTTTTTTGCTTTTCCACTGATATCACATTTCAATGAAACTTGGTACATGGATGCTCTAGGACAATTCAAATACATTAGTTTTAAATTAAAATTTGTGAATGTTAATCACCTGATTTGCATAATAATTAGTCAGTTTTCATCAATATCTCATGTACTCAAGGAGTCTTGGTACAATCCAAGGTTTTGGGTTTTTTAAAATAATAATTACCTCATTTGCATACCGCAATATGCCTTGGTTAAGTTTTTGGTTGAAGTCCAGTGGGTATTAATTACCTATTTTGCACATTGATTAGTCATTTTTAAGCCTTATAATTTTTTTTCCTCAAGAACCATGCAACGAATTTCAATGAATGTTGATACACAGATGCTCCATTAGTTTTTTGGTTGAGAACAATATGATATGAATGTTTCAGATGACTATACATGTATATGGTAATGTGATCTCAATAATAGGCACAACTGCAATATCTCTCAGATTTGTTAATTTTATGATATCTTCAAATTTCTAATTTAGATGAGTATTTTTATCATTTTTGGTAAAAAGTGATATTTTTGATTTCTTCATAAAAACCACAAGTCTGACTGTGATTTGATATTATAAAGATATAACAGGTGGCCCTCAATGATTTGCTCATTTTGTGATGCCTTCAATTCTTTAATTGAAATATGTGTTGCCAACAGTGGAGCTATCTCGGCTGAGAGGCTGCTCGTTTTCAAGCTCTACTTTTAGACATTGCATTGTGACATTTAATTGTTTATTTTAGCTGGAAATAATTTTCGCTAAAAAACCTTTTGGCTTTTTTGTAGGAAGTTTATTTTCACAGATTTTTTGATGGCATTTGCTTATAGCCATTTATCCTAAAAACTTCTATTTTTTCATTGGTAAAGTACACAAAGCTTTACAAAAAGTTTTCATTAGATGGATGGCGCTGATCAGTAAAACAAATGGATGGGCAACAAGTCATTTATAATCGGTGTTGAATCCCCTCCCCAAAGATTCTTAAAGCGTGGGAGTCGTCGCTTGCGCCAGATAACTGTTTTGTCCATAAAGCATCTTAATGCAAAGTTTTGAAAAAGTACATGTTTAGTTTGCATTTTGTACATTGCTTTTTTTATACATTGCTACTCTAGTTGTCTTAATGATTAACGCCTCCTCCTCCTTAATGAATTGAGTTTCAGGTATGACGAAACATGTAAACATTTAGTAAAACAAATCTTTCGCTGGGTTGTACCATTCATTGAGCAAAGTAATCCAGTTATTCACTAATAGTTTCAAACATTTCAAAGTTGTAAATAATAATTTTTTTTATCATTTCAAAGAATCAAAAGTTGTGTTTCGATCCCATCAAGACTTTTGGCAGCCCAATGGTGCAGTTTGGTCAGATCACATGACAGTGAATTCAAAACATTTTATTGACTTTAAAACATTCCCAAAATAGAAATAATTTAATGTGATTCAAATCATCCCATGGGAAAATAAACATTGTTTAAAAAAAATGATATTCAAGATCTCATGAGGGTAGTGAGCAACTTCAAAGTGGTAGTTTTTTGTGAAGTCGATATACACAAAGCCGACTTGTAGCTTCAGTAGTAATACCGGGTGAATCTTTTTTAAAAGATCCACTGCATTGTTTATTACATACTCCCAAGAAAATTTTCTAGTTTTCAGAAAATTATATCTATTTGACGCCCCCTCCCCGAGTGATATCTGCGTGCCCTTATTGATTCCCTTACCCATTACTGCGTACAATCATCAGATTATAATACATTAAATATTCTTCTGATGCATGTCCATTTCTGATCACTTTATTCCAATCATAATGAACTATGCATCACCCTCTATCCCTGGATAATTTAATCAACACAATGAAAACAAGTCATTGAAAATGATAGTCTCCGTTAAATTTTTGAAAGTTCTCTTTGTGCTGTCATATTAAAACTCCCATTGAAAAAAGAATTTATAATTTGTGTTCCCAAAATAAAATAGAAGATGAAGTTCACTTCCTTTTAGAATGTGATCGGTACAAACATATTAGACATGAATTGCTCACAGAAATTACATTAACTAATGCAGGAGATAAATTGAGTAATTTTATATTTTTGATGAGCAACAAGGACTCCAAGGCAATTAAATGTATGGGGACCTATCTACTTAAAGCCATGGAGTACAGAAAACTTTAACGTATCTATTTATATTGTATTGTAATTGTGTTGTGTATGGATATATTTATTGCTTTTTACCAAAAGAAATATTGTAATTTCTAAGGATGCAATAAAACTTGATTATTATTATTATTAAAGCGGGGGAGTGTGTGTGTGTGTGTGTGCGCGCGTGTGTGTGTTGTTGTTGTCGCGAACGTGTCCTTGAAACTTGAGTTCCAAGTGGCGTATACAACAGATTGTTTATTTACATCAAAACACGTGTTCAGTGTAGTAGTAATATGGTCAAAAATAAAAACAGCCGTTATTTGGCCATCTTTGATCTGATTATGAAACACACTGATATGTATGATGTCTGTGCCAAATACGAATGAAAAATGGTACATAAATTGTGGAAATATAGTAGTAAGGCCAAAAAGTCAGATTGCTGTCAATCGGCCATCCTTGACCAGATTTTGAAACAAATTGTCATGGACATGCATCCTAACATGTAAAAAGTACATGTTTGTGCCAAATTTGAATGAAAACTGACAGAGCACTTCCAAGATACAGAAAAAAACAAAAAAAACAAGATGCCGGCCCGTCGATCATCTTTGATCCAATTGCGAAATAAATAGTCATGGACATGTAACCTAACATGTATAATCTATGTACCAAGTTTGAATGACAACTGACAAAGCATGTCCAAAATACAACATTTTCAAAAAACAAGATGGCTGCCAGTCGGCCATTTTGAATCGAATCGCTAAACCACTGCATGTGCATATGTCCCATATAAGGTACTAGGCACATGCAAAGAATGAACGGAATCGGTCCACATGATTCTGAAATATTACTATTGACAGACTGACGAAAGGATGGACGGACGGACTCGAGAACTCACAGACGGTCGGGGACATGTATCCTAACATGTATGATCGATGTACTAAATTTGAATGAAAACTGACAAAGCATGTCCAAAATACAACATTTTCAAAAAACAAGATGGCTGCCAGTCGGCCATTTTGAATCAAATCGCTAAACCACTGCATGTGCATATGTTCCAGATAAAGTACTAGGCACATGCAAAGAATGAACGGAATCGGTTCAAGGGATTCTGAGATACGACTCCGGACAGACGGAGACCGAATTATAAGTCCCCGTTTTCAGACTTCATACGAACGGGGACTAATAATACTGTATTAGAAGCACATTTCTATTATGGGCGATTAAAAACCAAACCTCATCATTTCAGAGTGATCTAAAGTACACCAAACTGACCCAAGCCTATTTAATTCCTTTTGGAACAGTTGGGCTACAGAGGTCTTGATCAGAATTTTCGAAAAAAATATGGAAAAAGTTTAGTTTGTAAATGGTGGTAAAAATTGACTTCAAATGACACAGAAATGATACATTTCAGTATTGATCTAAAACAAGTAAATATACAGTCATTTCAATTTCTTCAGCTGACCAATCATATATCATATTCATTTATCAGCAGCCTCACTGGATTTCTTTGGTTCTAGTCCTTCAAAGTTAGGTTCTGAGGGATAGGCTATTGCACCCTGGGATGCTAACAGTTTGTCAATAAGTGCAATTTCTTCTCCACGTTTTTCTATATTCTTGGCTGGTGTCCACGACATATCAAATTCCAATTTGTATGCTCCAAGATAATCATGAGGGCAATTTGTTCCCCATTCCTGTTATGAGAGATAACCAAAACAAATTGTTAAAATTATTAAATTACAACAACGTAAATGAAAAAATCCTTTTTTTGATCATAAGAAGGCACTCTGCATACTGCTGATGAGTACACTTGTTTACTGTATGTTCACTTTTCTGTATTATACCCCACATATTATACAATCGTGTACAAGTTTCTTACCTCTGGTGATAAAATTGAAAAATATTTTTGTCCTGATTCTCTTTTATACAAATAATAAATCTGACCAGGTCTCTTTTTAATATTGCAAGCTGCATGGTGCAAATCAGCATCACGTTTAGCTTCTTCCAAAACTTTCTTTGCTTGCTTTTGAAGATGGCGAATTTGTTCTGCAATTGTCATCAGTTTATTACCAGCATTCGCACGGACAAATTCATCAGCCTGCATTAAACAAATAGATGTGTATATTTAGTGAGATACAGTGTATTTTGTCATACAAACTATATTGTGTGACCATCTTCTTATAAAGGCTAAAACTTTTTATCATTATGATATGATACGATGTCACATTATGACAACTGATCTTTAAGGAAAAACAGAGCCTTCTAACTTAAAGGCTGACATTAATGTCTTATGGGATGGACAGAGCTTAGTATTATAATTTGACTGATTATTTAATAACAACTGTAAATTCTTCTTTGTGTGCAGATAATCAAAATCTGCGTTGAATCTTGTTTATCTGTACAGTTACAATTCACTTCTGGTGACAAGGCAAATCCAAATGGGAATGAATCCTCGTACCAAAGTGAAACGAAACACATTTTTTTCAACCCATTTGTTCAATCTAGTGTATACATGTATACCATAATAGAAGCAAATATTTTAGCCAGCAGTAAAAATAATGTCATTTTCTTATAGTTATCAACGTCGGCAATGTCAGCATTTTTGTGTTGCAGTACAATCAACCCCAATACCCAATCACTCGGAAAGTTCCAGTAACCAGCAGAATATAACGTATTAAATAATTTAACAAGTAAAACTGCAAATTCAGTGAGACATTTTTTATCAATTCTACTAGAATGACATCATACCCTGTAGCTTTGTCCCCTGTTTTGTAATGCATTCCATTGTGATCAGAAAATAAACAATGACAAGTTATGACTGGTGTTAATTACACTTCATATGCAAAGTAGACATTTTTTTATCAATTCTACTGGAATGACATCATACCCTGTAGCTTTGTCCCCTGTTTTGTAATGCATTCTATTGTGATCAGAAAATAAACAATGACAAGTGGTGACTGGTGTTAATTACACTTCATATGCAAAGTAGACATTTTCAAAATGAGGTGGGTATAGTGCTAGCATTTTATCAGCAAAATGGTCAGGCTGTCAAATCGACTTCTATATTTATTTATTCATTCACTGAACATTCATTGTGCTATTCACTTCTGAAAAATAAAAAAAATTAATACAATCTGAATGAATCACTGTTTTTCATGTTTTTTTTAACCTTTTATCACCGTCCCTCAACACCAGGTGTTGAGGGACGGTGCTTTTATTCAGCATTGTTGCTGTTGGTGATGACGACTTCATTTGAATAGACTCTGCCTGCACCTGTTTAGATACCATGGTGGTCTTTAATGAGTGTTAATTGTTTACAAATCTAGCTTACATTCTAGTTAGGACACCGTACTTGTTTAAAATTCATAATCTGCAATTATTTTCTCATTACTCATCCACAATCTCAAAATTTATTGTTCAGGCATGGAAATTCACAAATTTGGAGTGGGAATGAATGTGACTTTAACCCCAGAAAAATGCTGCGATTGGTCATCAGTTCCTAACCAGTGAAAATGAGGAAAATTTTAAAAGACTACAATTTTTTTTTTATATTTTTCCACCAAGATTTTGCTTCCAAAATTTGAATACCCAGTGTTTGCAGTTTCTATTTCTAATAGCTTTAGATCATTGTTTGGTTACATCTTCAAATCTCAATAATAGCAATACATTTATTACTAGTATTCAGGACAAAAAAAGTGAATTGGTAAAAAGATCATTTTTCTAAAAGAATGAAAACAGTAGAAAAATCACTGCTCTGAATGTAGGGCTGAATATCAGGACACTTGTTGAAACCATGGAAGGTATTAATACCTTCCATGTTGAAACACACCTAAACAATCATAATTTTGGTGGTTTTCTTGTTACCTCTTTCATGCATGGTTGAGAAAAAAACATGTTATGTGGCAGAATTTATGTTACTATCGGTAGGTTATTTAGGGTGCTGGACATCTCGACCCATTTGTCATTGGACAACTCGACCCAGGACCCCTAGACCCACCTATTTCAGACGACCCGCCGCCTCGACCCGATCCCAATAGCATTGTACTTTTCCCAGTGCGCGTAGACCACAGTGTTTGTTTCACTGATTTATTATTTTTTGCTGCTTTCACTGTTCATTTCACAGCATGCGACCCCTGAAAGTGACGTCATTTTTGGATTGATCCATTGCGCTTGATGGATGATAAGTTATTTTTCAAGGAGGTGACACCGAAACGTGTTGCCACTAATATTCACACGTAACAAAGGGCGTGAAATAGCGTTAACAAACTATTTGTTTTTATCTTGTACACATGGGGTTGAAACCATTTAGTAACGAGTTAGTTATATATTTCGTACTTATATATATTTTTGCTGCACAAAATAAAAAATGCCGTACTGAGGAAATGTATTCTTGCCGTGTCGACGTGTGTCACATCGATGTTACGTTATATACACCTACCCACCGCGTTAAATGGTAGAACCAAAGATGGCGTTTGATTTGCGTTTAAGGTTCAGTTCGATCATGTTCCCTGTTTTCAATGTTTCGAATCAATAGATGTTGTTCATTCAAACACAGCATTCATAAACAGCACGATACGTAATATCGCGAGAATTTTAAGTTATCAAAGGGCAACATTATCAACGTTGAACTAGATAACTAGATAGAGGTTCCCGTCGCCACACTTAGATAGGGTCGGGTCGATGCGGTGGGGTGGGTCGAGATGCCCAGGGTGTGTGGGTCGAGATGTCCAATTTGGGTCGAAGTGTCTTGGGTCGAGAAATTTTTGGGTCGAGATGTCTAGAAATCGGTTATTTACAAGTCATAATTAAGCATTTTATGTTTGATAGAGCCACCATGATTTGTACAATACACGACTGAGTACTTGTACAATACACGACTGGGTCTATATAACGATTATTACCTTTTGAACATGCCTTGCTAACTCCACTAAGTCCATTGGATCATGTATTTTACCAGAGGCTTCCGGGTTTACCAAGGCGACCGTACCCGACTTGCCACCTCTCTCTACTAACGACACTGAAACGAACAATTAAAAAATCAAATAATCATCACATACAGCGAGTGCCAGCTATGTTTCAAATACATAAGCGTAATAGACGTTTAATTTGATTCAGTAGCAATGAAATTATGGGCAACATTCAAGTCCAATGAATTTGTTTATGAAGAATGAAAGGCAGCAGTCCGATTCCACAATCAACTGACGTGCGTGGCCAGGCGGCCTTTACGTGTACACGTTAATATTAAAAGAACCAATAGTATGGATCAGAGCATGGAACTATAATCACAGTATTAGAGCAAAACATGCGAACTATTATAACATTCATATTGACATTGGCCATGAAACGCAAAGACTGTCGGTGTACACAAGAAGCGCACGCCAACGTTCTGTGTCTGGGTCGATTAAAGGCCACATCAGCCAATTCAGTTAACTGACCTGTCGTAACTGAAGTATCCATAGCTAGGCTATACTGCTGGCTTACAACGCAAATGGTTAAACAAGTAGTCTGTGGTCACCTCCTGTAAATACGCTGATCGTAGCTAGAAAGACCGACTTTGTCGTTGTGATTACTTTTGAGGGAATCCCTTCCACCTCATTCAAATATTGCAATTTTTAATTCAATATAAATACTTAAAACAATATGTTTGTATTAATCTATCCACCCACTATTCTTACAAATACGTTATTTATTCACTAGTAAAATTATAATTACAAAAGGTATTGAAATATAAAATAAATGTTATTTTGTTTATAAAATGAGTTTAAGAACGAGGTCGAAAATAATCATGTGATGCATTTCACTGGCCAATAATAAAGGAATCCGCTTCGCAAAGCCCGCTGGGAAGAACTGCCTTCCTGAATAGATTAAAAGTTAAAGGTTAAAGGTTAGAGAAGATATTCAAATAAGATTTCTTTTAATTGTGCAATACTGTACAGTGACTGTACTGTTGGGAATCATATATTCATTATGTAAGTCAGACCTCCAGTATTCAACCCCAGAAGGAGCGAGCTAATATTCTGGCAAGTGCAGAAGACTAATTAAAAACGTGCATCGTAAGTTTATAATACTGAGGTAGATCTTGGGACCCATGTCGAACAAGACGTGGTGTGAATCGTGATTGTTTTTGTGCTCATTTTGAGCTATAGTCGCATGTGGGCTGAAATCCAAATAAATCGATCAGTTCTGTATTTCACTAAAATGTTTGCAGGAAAAAAAGAAATAATTTTTTTTTTAAATGTTCGGATTCTGAATTATTTTGACCTATTTTCTATTTATATTTTTCAGAAAACTTGTATTATTTCTTTACTATTCATCAAAATGGTGGAAGAAATAAAGTCTTTGGCAAACCTACAGTTTAAGAGGCAACCAGGAATGGAGTTCACATTTACAGACATCACTGTGAAAATTAAAGATAAAACAATCCTGGACAATGTGAGTGGACAGGCACTGCCAGGAGAGATTCTTGCAATGATGGGCCCAACAGGTAAGCTATATAAATGCAGGGAGCGCTGTAAATCTCATTACAGCTCCCTGATAAATGTTACTGGCAGTATTTGAAAAACAGTGGTTATACAAGTATCACTTTTTCACAGCAACAAAATAATTCATTAGCTTATTATTAGTTGTCTGATTAACATAAAGACAAAAGGGAATACAGAAGTGATGTAGAGTAAGAGAGAGGTGAAAAGAATGAAGCAATGAAGTGATAAAATAGACTGGTTTACCAAGTAAGGGTAAAATCCATGTTCTATATTGTGTCTTTGTTTAACAGTATTTAATTGTTGAATAAACGATTGTTTAGTAATCTCTCTATCCAAGCATGGAGGTAAAAGACTGTCTTTTACCTCCATGAGCCAAGCAATGTTTCTGTGTAGTAATACTGCACCTCAAGCCTGATAATGAGTGTCCTGATACTAACTGCATTGAATCTGTTATTATGTGTTTATTCCTGATTATGGTTATTCTCAGTGAACCTTCAGTTTGACCAATATAAATAGATGATAGTCATTGTAGACATATATCACATTAGAAGACGAATTTGAAAATCATTTTATTAAAAAATTACCACTTTCAATGAATGCTGTCCTTTTTTCATGCTTGAAAGTGTTTTTTTATCAATAAAAGTGTAAACCTCGCTTATTGATGCCATGAAAAACTTAAAAAGAAAAAGGAATAAAAGCTTTATTCTCATTAAAGACCAAAATTTGATTTGGTAATCTAGACATGTTCATACTACTCTCACTGTTTAATAAATTTATCAGACCAGTTATTGTGTATGGGAGTGACATTTGGGGAGAAAAAAGTTCTACAAAATCAATTGTAGAGGATGTCCACCTTACTATTGGTACATTCTTGGTATCTTTATAAAAATACACCAATCATGGCAATATATAGTGAATTGGGAAAATTACCTCTTGACTCTTTTATTAAGAAACAAATGATAAAATATGCCAATCGTATTGCAAATTCCACAAATACTCTACTTCAAGAAGCATACTATGTCAATAAAATTATTAAAAGTAAATGATTTAAAAAACTTGATTTGATATTAAAAAATAGAAACCATTCTTATCTTTTAA